GTAATCCTAACTACTTGGGAGGCTGAGGCACAAGAATTACTTGAACCTGGAAGGGAGAGGTTGCAGTGAACCGAGATCGCACCACTACACTCCAGCCTGGGTGGCAGTGCGAGAGTCTGTCTCAAAAAACAAACAAACAAACAAAAAACCATCATCCCAGCTTTCACAAAATTAACACTATGGTAGGAATACGACTAATATATACAGATGATTCAAGAACAAGCAATAAATATAAGGTACTCTTTTAAAACTTTTCGGAGAGAGAGATTAGTTTGGGTTAAATTTATTGTTTAAAGTTCTGGGAAGGGGTCTGGTGCAGTGGTTCATGCCTGTAATCCCAGCACCTTGGGAGGCTGAGGCGGGTGGATCACTTGAGACCAGGAGTTCGAAACCAGTCTGGTCATCATGGTGAAACCCTGTCTCTACTAAAAATACAAAAATTAGCTGGGCATGGTGGCACACGCCTGTAATCCCAGCTATTTGGGGAGGAGAATCGCTTGAACCTGGGAGACGGAGGTTTCAGTGAGCCAAGATCACGCTACCGCACTCCAGCCTGGGCGACAGAGTAAGACTCCATCTGAGAAAAAAAAAAAAAAAAAAAAACAACTGTCAGTGAAGATGGTGGGGGTCAGCTAGAACTGAAGAGGGAATTCCAGGCAACACTTCGTTTTTTCCATTATTTCCCAATCATCTTCAGGTGTCCAAATGGGCACTTTCCCTTCTTCCTATGTGCTACTTCATCTTTTCCTTATAACTTTGGGTATCTCCAGAATAGCCTAGAACATTGCCATTCCCATGATAAGTGAACACCCTCCACTCTGTAACCCTGACATTTTGATATGGGAAGCACAAAATCTGGCCACTCAATAATCACCTGAAAACGTTTTGGACTTGAGTTAGTTCTGTCTCAAGTGCTATAGCACCCTGCTGCTAAAGTTGTGGACCAGCAGTACAGGCATCACCTAGGAGCTTATTAGAAATGCAAAAATCGGCCGGGCACGGTGGCTCACACCTACAATCTCAGCACTTCAGGAGGCTGAGGAGGGCAGATCACCTGAGGTTGAGAGTTTGAGACCAGGCTGACTAACATGGAGAAAATCCGTCTCTACTAAAAAAAACACAAAATTAGGCTGGGCGCGGTGGCTCACGCCTGTAATCCCAGCACTTTGGGAGGCCGAGACGGGCAGATCACAAGGTCAGGAGATCGAGACCATCCTGGCCAACACAGTGAAACCCTGTCTCTACTAAAAATACAAAAAATTAGCTGGGCGTGGTGGCAGGTGCCTGTAGTCCCAGCTACTCGGGAGGCTGAGGCAGAATGGTGTGAACCCGGGAGGCGGAGGTTGCAGTGAGCTGAGATCGCGCCGCTGCACTCCAGCCTGGGCGACAGAGCGAGACTCCGTCTCAAAAAAAAAAATTAGCCAGGTGTGGTGGCACATGCCCATAATCCCAGCTACTCAGGAGGCTAAGACAGGAGAATCACTTGAACCCTGGAGTTGGAGGTTGCAGTGAGCCAAGATCGTGCCATTGCACTTCAGCCTAAGCAACAAGAGTGAGACTCCATCTCAAAAAAAAAAAAAAAAAAAAAAAAAAAAGAAATGCAAAAATCTCATCTTAGGCCAGCTCAATCCGAAACTGCATCTTAACAATATCACTTTAACAACATCCGATTCATTTGTACCTTCACCTCCTTGGCACTTGGCACTTAGAATTGTCAACTGAAAGTAAAAAGACATGCAGAGCTAGCAGGGGCTGTGGTAAAGATGATGAGGACTTCATGGCAGACTGCTGAAGCTAAGAAATGCAGTATGTCAGGCCGGGCGCAGTGGCTCAAGCCTATAATCCCAGCACTTTGGGAGGCCGAGACAGGCGGATCACAAGGTCAGGAGATCAAGACCATCCTGGCTAACACGGTGAAACCCCGTCTCTACCAAAAAAATACAAAAAACTAGCCGGGCGAGGTGGCGGGCGCCTGTAGTCCCAGCTACTCAGGAGGCTGAGGCAGGAGAATGGCGTAAACCCGGGAGGCGGAGCTTGCAGTGAGCTGAGATCCGGCCACTGCACTCCAGCCTGGGCGATACAGCGAGACTCCGTCTCAAAAAAAAAAAAAAAAAAAAAAGAAAGGCAGTATGTCTATAAGTCTTTTCACTCATTCAGTAAGCATGCAGTTTCTGACCACGTCTGGCGTGCTAGGCACTATGCTACCACTGGGGTGCAGGGATAAGTCTTCCCTTAGTAAATGTTATAAGTAGCTAGAACAGAAGCAGCTATGAGGTGTTGTGGGGATTTCCTATGCTTACAAGGGGCAAAGAAGACTTCACTAAGGAGATGTTTTTATTTTTTAAAATTTTTAATAAAAGATCAGTGTGATAGGAAGGGGATGCTTTTGAGCTAAATCGTAAAGGAAGAGTACAAAGACATCAAGTACCAGGTAGGAGTAGAGAAGGGAGATACTTCTAGCAGGGAGAACAGCATGGGCACGTTTACGCAATCATCGTGTAGTAATCTTTGCCCATTCTTCTCTGAGAGAAGTGCACTTATAGAGTGACCAACTATTCTGGTTTGTCCAGGCAATGGGACTTTCAGTACCAAAACCAGGAGAGTCCCAGGCAAACTGCAATGAGCTGGTCACCTCATCAAGTATGATTTTCAAATTTTAAGTCTCCCAGGTACAGATTATGTTTGCACTGATACTATATAGTTCAAAGGATGAGCTTGGGAGAGAGAGCTGGGTTTGAGTCCTGGTTCCAGCACTCACCAGGTTAACCTTGGACAAGTTGATCAAAGCCTCCATTCTGTCATCTGTAAATGGTAGCAATATCTGCCCCGCTGGATTCTTTGGGAGAGTAAGGGATGGGAAAAAACACTCACCACAATCCTTATTAGTACAGTGATGGGTAACAAAAGAAAAAACAGCACAACGCCAAGCACAAAATTAATGTTCAGTAAGTGATAGCTAACGATCATATCTACTTATAGGATATGAAACATAAGTTGATCCAGCTGATGTGGAATGACTGGAATAAGGAAGTGAGGCGAGCAGCTGCACAGGCGCTGGGGCAAATGAGCCTTGGGAAAGAGGTGCACGACATAATCAGGTAAGACCCAGTCAACATGAGGAGACGCTCTTCTAAATTCTTAGAAGTGTTTAGGAGGCAGGCCGGGCACGGTGGCTCCCAACACTTTGGGAAGCTGAGGATGGCAGATCACGAGGTCAGGAGATTGAGACCATCCTGGCTAACACAGTAAAACCCTGTCTTTACTAAAAATACAAAAAAATTAGCTGGGCGTGGTGGCACGCACCTGTTGTCACAGCTACTTGGGAGGCTGAGGCAGGAGAATCACTTCAACCAGGGAGGCGGAGGTTGCAGTGAGCAGAGATAGTGCCACTGCACTCCAGCCTGGTGACAGAGCAAGACTCTGTCTCAAAAAAAGAAAGAAAGGAAAAAGTGCTTAGGAGGCCTGGGATCCAGCCACCCAGCATTTGTTGAGCTCCTCTGTACAGACCCTGGACCAGGTCCCACTGTAAAAAATTAACAGTCCCTACAAACTAACAATGTGACTAGAGAAAGAATCATTGAGTGCCCAGTAGGCATGAGGCAATGGTTTGGGTGTTGGAGGGTGTTCGAAAGTATGATGCAATTCTGATGACCACATGCAAAATATACAAACACCTAATTAAAAATACCAAATCATTAAAAACTAGAACAAATGGCGTATACCATAACTGCTGGAGCAGAAAAATGGAATACTTAGTGTGGCTAGAGGTGTAAGGCCAAGTTTCATAGAGGGATTGCACAGGAGGGCCAGTCCAGTGGCACACATCTATAATCCCAACACTTTGAGACTCCAAAGCAGGAGGATCAATTGAGCCCAGGAATTCGAGACCAGCCTGGGCAACATAGCAAGACCTTGTCTCTACTAAAAATAAAAATAAAAAAAATTGGCTGGGCGCGGAGGCTCATGCCTGTAATCCCAGCACTTTGGGAGGCCGAAACGGGCGGATCATGAGCGCAGGAGATCGAGACCATCCTGGCTAACACGGTGAAACCCCGTCTCTACTAAAAATATAAAATGGCGTGGTGGTGGGCGCCTGAAGTCCCAGCTATTCAGGAGGCTGAGGCAGGAGAATGGCGTGAACCCAGGAGGCGGAGCTTGCAGTGAGCGGAGATCGTGCCACTGCACTCCAGCCTGGGCGACAGAGTGAGACTCCGTCTCAAAAATAATAATAAAAAATAAAAATAAAAATAAATTAGCCAATGTGGTGGTGTATGCCTGTAGTCCCAGCTACTTGGGAGGCTGAAGCAAGAGGATTGCCGGGGTCCAGGAAGTCCAAGGCTGTCATGAGCCATCATCATGCCACTGCATTCTAGCCTGGGCAACAGAGAAAGACCCTACCTCAAAAAAAAAAAAAAAAAGAGAAACTGCATAGGAGCCAGGCAGAGTGGGTAAGTGCCTATAATCCCAGCTACTCAGGCTGAGGCAGGAGAATCACTTGAGGTCAGGAGTTCAAGACCAGCCTGGGCAACATAGCAAGACTCCTTCTCTAAAAATAATTTAAGGCCGGGCACAGTGGCTCACACCTGTAATCGCAGCACTTCAGGAGGCTGAGACAGGAGGATCACGAGGTCAGGAGATTGAGACCACCCTGGCTAACCCCGTGAAAACTAAAGTGAAACCCCGTCTCTACTAAAAATACAAAAAAAATTAGCCGGGTGTGGTTGTGGGCGCCTGTAGTCCCAGTTACTCGGGAGGCTGAGGCAGGAGAATGGCGTGAACCCGGGAGGTGGAGCTTGCAGTGAGCCGAGATTGCACCACTGCACTCCAGCCTGGGAGCCAGAGCAAGACTCCATCTCCAAATAATAATAATAATAAAATAAATAAAAACAATTTAAACAAACAAAAAGACTACATAGGCATTCTAGGCTGGAAGCTAAATGCAGAAATAATCATGGCACACGTGAGGGCGAAGGAGAAGAGAACTTGACTGTGAAAAGAGGTGCAAGTTGACGTTTTCCTTTATTCAGTCATTCAATGTAACTGAAAGCCCTGCATTACCTAATTACCGAAGAGCTATGAATTAGGGATTCAAGTAAAGAAGACAATCGAGCTCTGTACCCAGTAAAACTTACCTCATGAGCATAAGGCTAAATGGGATTGACAGCCTACAGAACTCGGATTTTATCAGGAGGGCCTACATTGGGGTTGGGGGTTAGGTACTGAAAGTTTAAGGAAGCGAAAGAAAAGCAACTTGTGCCTTACAGGATCAAGCTGGGTCAAGGAAATTCCCAGGAGCGTGTGGAAGCTCTCTCCCTGATAGGTGAGCTCAAGCTTATGACCGCCAAGCTTCTCCCAAGCTTCCTGCACTGCTTCTCTGATGACTTCACAGCAGTTCGGCGGGCAGCCTGTTTGGCAGCTGGTGCCCTGCAAATCCGCGACAAGATGGTGAGTCAGGGAAACATATTCTTATCGTACCTGATTGACCTGAAGAGGGCATTACCTTCCCTGGTTGTGCACAGTATGCTCAACATTCTGCAGGGACACAGAATGAGAGATCGGAATTGGGAAGGGGGTACATAAGCCACCTCAAACAGGACCATTTCAGGGGCGTCCAATCTTTTGGTTTCCCTGGGCCACACTGGAAGAATTGTCTTGGGCCACACATAAAGTACACTAACACTAATGATAGTTGATGAGCTTAAAAAAAAAAAAGGTCCATGCATAAATCTCATGTTTTAAGAAAGTTTACGAACTTGTGTTGGGTCACATTCAAGGTCGTTCCGGGCCACATATTGGACAAGCTTGGTTTAGCTCCCAGCCAGCCCAGACTTCAGTTCTAGAGCACACCCCTGAATCCTGTTCTCACCTCAGTTAACTAGCTTCTCATTACCTGGGTGCTGATGGGCTTTAGGATCAACTCTCATAAATGGAGTTATAATTCCGTTATTAGGGAAAAATCTATTTGAAGTGTTCAAGAGAAGCCATGTGGCCACAGATCTGTAGACTGAGAAAATCAATAGCAGATAATTCAGCTAATCTACTCACTATGCATACAGGTTGGTACTTTAGGCTCCAGCTCATTTGTCACCAGAATTGATAGGTCATTTTTCAATTATAGCTCCTTTTAGAGATAAATGGTGTCCTGTTTCTGATTCATTATTTTGCTTTGTTTTGTTTTTTTTGCTTTTTTGAGATGGAGTCTCACTCTGTCACCCAGGTTGGAGTACAGTGGCACGATCTCAGCTTACTACAACCTCCACCTCCCGGGTTCAAGCAATTCTCCTGCCTCAGCCTCCAAGTAGCTGGGATTACAGGTGTGTGACACCATGCCCGGCTAATTTTTATATTTTTAGTAGAAACAAGGTTTCACCACGTTGGCCAGGCTGGTCTCAAACTCCTGACCTCAAGTGATCCGCCCACCTTGGCATCCCAAAATGCTGGGATTACAGGTGTGCGCCACTGCACCCAGTTGCTTCTGGTTCATTCTTGCTCTGGTCCTCCCCACTTAACACTGCCTTTTATCCATCCCAGGTGCTTGAATGCCTCCTGAACCTGATGCAGAGAGATCCTTACTGGAAAATCAAGGCTTTTGCCATTCGAGGTATTATAGAAGTAGTGTCCCAAACTCTTAAACCTTAAATACCTTTCCCTATGCAAGTATAAATGATCCCCAGAAACTCTCTAATAAAGGGGTGAAGTGCAGGAGAGGTAATGATCTTAGCTTTTCAGAAGTTCCTTGTCTGAGAAGAGAAAGATAATTTTCTTCTTCAATTTTTAGTGAAAGATCCTGAGTCTAGGTATATGTCAATCTTAAGTTAAAGACAGGGCTGACAAGACAGTCCCAGCCAACAGAATTAAGGATAAGATCCAAGTATGTATCCACTGCTGGATGCATCTTGCTTTCCTTGGATATCTCAACTATTACGCTCTGTAAGTCTGATCAGTTTCAAGACTCCTACAGCCCTAAAACCCTGCCCCTTAATCAGCCTAGTTTCTTTTTAGAATCTTTGGCATTGCTTCTCTTTTTGACATAGATAAATAATTGTGCCTCCTTTCCCCATCACCCTGCTGGGACTAGGTGGATCTTCCATGTTATCTGTTCTATATTTCATCCCCAAAATAGACAAATATCCTAATGGGCAAGGATGGGATGGAACATCCCTCTTCTAGGAATTCTTTGGAGGTAATGTCCCACTCTAACCTATCCTTAAAATTATAATGGTGATTACCATCCAAAAGGGAAAGTACTGTTTGCAAAACTCAATTTATTTCTGGATGCTAGAATATAGTAAGCTCAGTCTTCAGGGACATGCTGCCCTCTCATCTCTGCAGCTTTGGGACAGATTGGGCAAGTAAGTCCCAAGCTGACGGATCTTCTGCTCTGGGCTATTCACTATGAAGAGTCACCAGGTGTACGGCTGGAAGCTTGCCGTAGCATCCTAGCCCTGAAACTTCAAGGGGACCGGGTCAGGGACACCTTCCTAGACGTGCTGCTCCTGGAGAACCACGATGCTGTTCTAAAGTAAGTACTAAACCTCTGGCTCCCACCATGACCTTATACGGCCAACTCTCACATCTTTGCTCATTGAATATATTCCTGACTTTCCAGGCTGCCTAATGGCAGTAAAAGCACAGTCTCACCTGCACATTCACCACTCACCCATGTAGGTAACAGAAAAACTGGCCTAAATTAGATTGAAAGTCAAACTTACGTAGTTCATGCATCTTTTCTCCCCACCAGGATGGTTTTAAGTTGTTCATACATTCAACTAACATTTATCAAGTGCCTATTGGGACAACAAGTTTTAGAGTAAAAAAGACCAGGGTTTGAATTCCAGCTCTGGCATGCAAGAGCTATGTGAGCCTGTGTAAGGTATTTAAACTCTGTGAGCCCATTTTTTTCAATCTATCAAATGCAGGTGATAGTCTACATTATAGAGTTGTGGTGACAAGTAATGAGATGACATGTTTAGCGCCTGTCATAAAGGTGTTCAGTAAATGGTACCTATTGGCACCTTTAAATATATTGTCTTGGCCAGATGCGGTGGCTCACATCTGTAATCCCAACACTTTGGGAGGCCGAGGCAGATGGATCACCTGAGGTCAGGAGTTTGAGACCAGCCTGGCCAACATTGCAAAACCCATCTCTACTAAAAATACAAAAATTAGACGGGCATGGCCAGGTGCGGTGGCTTACACCTGTAGCCCCAACACTTTGGGAGGCCAAGGTGGGTGGATCACCTGAGGTCAGGAGTTCTAGACCAGCCTGGTCAACATGGTAAAACCCCATCTCTACTAAAAATATAAAAATTAGCTGGGCATGGTAGTGCACACCTATAATCCCAGCTACTCAGGAGGCTGAGGCAGGAGAATCGTTTGAACCTGGGAGGCGGAGGTTGCAGTGAGCCGAGATCACGCCATTGCACTCCAGCTCTGGGCAACAGAGCAAGACTCCATCTCAGAAAAACAAAAAACAAACAAAAAAACCCACAAGTATATTGTCTCAAAAACTGTGTAGTATTCCTATAAGCTAAGCATTACACCATTTTTGCATATAAGGCTCAGAAAACTGCACAGTTAGGATTGGAACTTGGGATTCTTAACTGATTCCAAGTCCTATATTTTCTACTCCCATACTTCTTTAAAGGGCAGGGTAGAATAATCTAAGAAGTCCTTCTTATCTTTCAGGGAAGTGTACCAGACAATGAAGATACTCAACTTAGGAAATGAAGGAAACCAAGAAATGCTTCAGGAGATCAAGAACAGGGTAAATAAGTGTAAGCTCTGTTTTCAAGAGAAAATTCAGGGCTCTCAAGAGTTCCTCAGACCTTGTCCCCCTCAAATATGTACATACCCTTTTTCCCACCATAGAAATACTTTCAAAAACCCCAGACACAGATGCCACATCATTTGAAGATGCAAAGCACCTGTGCAAGATTGGGTTATAAGGTCCTACTAGTAAAGACAAAAACAAAACAAAAATCCTATTAGTCCTATCAAGTAGCGCTCAAAAATCAGTTTATTGTTATTGTTTCAGAAATACTATTTCCCTCCCTTCCTGTTTTCTCCCTATCATCCCCAAACCCAAGTTGTTTATTTTTCCTTTTTTGCAAATAGGCATAGAGAAGGAATAAGGGACAGGAGCTGGCCCCCTAGATTTTCTTTTTAATTTTTCTGAATTCCTAATCTGGGTTCTCTCACCAAAGAAAATCTCTAGCTAAAAGGATTAATATAATTTTTCCTTTTTTTTTTGGAGTGGGGGATAGTCTCGCTCTGTCGCCTAGGCTGGAGTGCAGTGGTGTGATCTTGGCTCACTGCAACCTCCACCTCCTGGGTTCAAGTGATTCTCATGCCTCAGTCACCAAAGTAGCTGGGATTATAGGCATGTGCCACCATGCCCAACTAATTTTTTTGTGTTTTTAGTGGAGACAAGGTTTTGCTGTGTTGGCCAGGCTGGTCTTGAACTCCTGGCCTCAAGTGATCCACCCGCCTCAGCCTCCCAAAGTGCTTACAGGCATGAGCCATTACGCCTGGCCTGGATTGTTTTAATTTTTCAAAACTGTTAGATGAGATGAAGGAATAGAGGAGAAAGGACTTTGAAAAGGTAATTCAAGAAACCAACTTCACACCAAGCAAACATCTTTTTTTTTTTTTTTTTTTTTTGAGACGGAATCTTGCTCTGTCCCCCAGGCTGGAGTGCAGTGGCCGGATCTCAGCTCACTGCAAGCTCCGCCTCCCGGGTTCAGGCCATTCTCCTGCCTTAGCCTCCCGAGTAGCTGGGACTACAGGCACCAGCCACCTCGCCCGGCTACTTTTTTTGTATTTTTTAGTACAGACGGGGTTTCACCGTCTTAGCAAAGATGGTCTTGATCACCTGACCTCGTGATCCGCCCGTCTCAGCCTCCCAAAGTGCTAGGATTACAGGCTTGAGCCACCGCACCCGGCCTCAAGCAAACATTTCTTAGCAGGTTCCTTTCATCATGCCCAAAAAGCTGAAGTAAAATTTTTTTTTTTTTGAGACGGAGTCTCGCTCTGTCGCCCAGCCTGGAGTGCAGTGGCCGGATCTCAGCTCACTGCAAGCTCCGCCTCCCGGGTTTACGCCATTCTCCTGCCTCAGCCTCCCGAGTAGCTGGGACTATAGGCGCCAGCCACCTCGCCCGGCTAGTTTTTTGTATTTTTTAGTAGAGACGGAGTTTCACTGTGTTAGCCAGGATGGTCTCAATCTCCTGACCTCGTGATCCGCCCGTTTCGGCCTCCCAAAGTGCTGGGATTACAGGCTTGAGCCACCGCGCCCGGCCCTAAAGTAAAATTTTCATGAACAGGTATAAAAAATCTCCAACCAATATCATAAGAGAACAATGTTCTCAGGCATTTATGTACCACCTACTACTGATAAACATATGCAATTAGTTACTTCTTTTTTTTCTAGAGACAGGGTCTCACTTTGTTGCCCAGGCTGGAGTGCAGTGGCATGATCACAGCTCACTGTAGCCTTGAACTGTTGAGCTCAAGTGATCCTCCCTCCTCAGCCTCCCACAATTATTTTATTAATTTTTTTTGTTCTTTGAAAATTTGCTGCCTAGTACAGGTGTTTTGTTTTGCATTATTTGTTCGTTTTTTGATAATTTGCTGCCGAGTACAGGTGTTTTGTTTTGCATTATTTGTTCTAATTTAGATTAAAACACTAAGCCAAAAGGACTTGCTGATACAGAAAATACTCAAGCTGGAGATAGTCATGGGAAAAGTGAGGGAGGAAGCAAAACGTGTTTACTTGAAACCCAAAGGAGAACAAGAACCACTAACACTCCAAACTTTACTCCAAGAAACTTTTCAGGGTAGGTTTCCTAGGGGTGAGTTCTATGCCTTGATTCCTTTAATAAGCCTCTTCCAGGATCTGGATATTTTGGGACTTAGTAGCAAGGCTTGGGGGAAGAAAGAGTCAGGAAAGGGTCCTTCCCTCTTGGCTACCATCCACTCAGTCTTTGTTATTTTTTTTTGTTCCCCAGGTTTTTATTCATATATTTTCTCCCTTTAAAAAAAAAAGTTATCTCTACTTGAACTGATTTAAAGAGGGACATATCAGAAAAACACGAGTCTTTATAAAACAATACTACCATGTATGTTTGATTAAGCACCCAAAAAAGCCTTATGAGCTTAACCTTAATAGTGGTAGTGGCTGGTGGTCGGGCATGGTGGTGCACACCTGAAATCCCAGTGCTTTGGGAGGCCACGATGGGAGGATCACCCCAGGCCAGGAGTTCAAAACCAGTCTGGGCGGCCGGGCGCGGTGGCTCAAGCCTGTAATCCCAGCACTTTGGGAGGCCGAGACGGGCGGATCACGAGGTCAGGAGATCGAGACCATCCTGGCTAACACGGTGAAACCCCGTCTCTACTGAAAAACAATACAAAAAAACTAGCCGGGCGAGGTGGCAGGCGCCTGTAGTCCCAGCTACTCGGGAGGCTGAGGCAGGAGAATGGCGTAAACCCGGGAGGCGGAGCTTGCAGTGAGCAGAGATCCGGCCATCGCACTCCAGCCTGGGTGACAGAGCAAGACTCCCTCTCAAAAAAAAAAAAAAAAAAAAAAAAAAAACCAGTCTGGGCAACATAGCAAGACCCCTCCATCTCTACAAAAATAAATAAATAAATAAATAAAAATTATCTGGGTGTGGTGGCACACACCGGAAGTCCTATCTACTAAGAAGGCTGAGGTGGGAGGATTGCTTGAGCCCAGGAGGTTGGGGCTGCAGTAACCCAAGATCTCACCACTGCACCCCAGCCTGGGCAACAGAGTGGGACCCTGTCTCAAACAAACAAAAAATAGTGCTTATCTCTGGAAAGTGGGGTTGGGGGGAGAACTATCATTTTTACTTAATGTATGTCTATGCTTTTGTAACTTTTTTAAAAAAACCTTATAAAGTTCTCAACTTTAAACAACAGAAAACTATCCATTATGGTGATAGACTCTTAGGAGTCCCAGACACAACCTAAATGATGAAGGTGCAGAAATCAAGCTGTATCAAAATATACTTACAAAATCTGTGTGTCCGAGCATAGCAGCAACCTCAGGTCACTCAGCCAGCTGCCTACCAGCTACCACCCCAAACCCAGGTCTTCTGGTTCCAAGTCCAGTGCTCTTTCTGGTACATCAGGCACTTTTCCACCAACCATGAGAATATTCACTTGTCAGATTTGGGGAAGTTTCTTCCAACTGCCAGAATAAAAATGAGAGTGGAAAGTAACTTGAACACCAGCCTTCCTTTATGGCCAGCTGGCTAAAAGTTGGTTGCCAAAGGTCCATGAAGGCACAACTAGGTGACATGCTGCCCTTATGACAGCAGTGCCAGCCATGGATGCAAGCAAACAGTGAGCAAAAACATACCATGCTCTTAAAACTGAACTAGCTAGTATGAAATAATTTTTCTATTAGAATTGGGTTGCATAATTAAATAGCATAAATTATCCCCAAAGTTAGTGAACTGGTCCCAATCAGATGAGATTTTTGAGATCGAGTCTCGCTCTGTTGCCCAGGCTGGAGTGCAGTGGCACGATCTCAGCTCACTGCAACTTCCGCCTCCCAGGTTCAAGCGATCCTCCTGCCTCAGTCCCCTAATAGCTGGGATTACAGGCACGTGCCACCATGCCTGGCTAATTTTTGTATTTTTACTAGAGATGGGGTTTTGCCATGTTGGCCAGGCTGGTCTCAAACTGCTGACCTCAGGTGATCCACCTGCCTTGGCCTCCCAAAGTGCTGGGATTACAGGTATGAGCACTGCACCCAGCCTGCGATTCTCTTCCTTAAGAGATTAACGTGCTCCTTTTACATTCTACAACCACCCCAAGTTGCTTTTCACTTCAGCCATTATAGATTTTCCCTATCTTCCTCCTGCTCCTGCATTTCTTCAAACCATCCCACATAATAATCTAGCCTTAGAAAAGGGAAACATTCTTTGGCACTTTAATAACTTTTCTAAGGTTCATACAAATTTAACAATAACAGGATACTGACCCCAACCCTCCCCCCAAACAATGAAAAAGAACTCAGATGAAAGATCCAAATTCCAAAAAAAATCTAATGTCGGTCTCAAGCAGAATGACATGGTCAGTGCCACCCAGTACACTGAAGCCTGAGGGTGATGAAGTTGGTGCTCTGAAATGATCACGGATCAAGGGTTTTTTTCCACCTCCAACTTCTCATTTTCCTTTTGTACCTAGATGAGATGGTTCTTCCTAGAAGACCTTCTGAGGTTTGCGACATTGAAGCAGTCATAAAGGTAAATGTGAGCACACTGATGGTTATCAAGGTAAGAACATGAGTTTCAAAAAAAGAAAAAAAAAAAAGTAGCAGTGGCAGGGGAGAATCACTACTGCCTTGTTTCCAGCAATCAGCAAGAAACTAATTTAGGGCTAGAGGCATCTTGGTGAGCAGCAGCCCCTTATCATACAACATGGTTGCCAAGGAAAGCTGGTCCTCCACACTGTCACAGGGCAGGTCCCCCACTCTCACAAACTCTGGGTAAGAACGAAGCAACAGTTCCATGGCATCAGCTTGCTGGGGGTATATTTCCAAGCATTTGGGTTCTTCCAGATGATACACACGGGAGTTTTCCACTGTGTAATAGAGAAACAAATGGCCCCCCTCACCCACCAGCCGAGCTATCCCATCCTGAAGCATGTGGACTTCTGTTTCTGTTGTCAACTGGGCCCCCACGTTTACAGGTTCTCCAGCCTCCCAGCGAATTGGAAGCCCATAAACACTTAGTGCCCTCTCCCTATCAGTCAAAACAGGGGGCAGAGAATCGTGGATGAAGTCTTTGGCCCGCTGGTCGGCCACAGCATCGACAGGAGCAAAGTGTCCCAGGCGGGCAACCAAGACCCGCACCTTCTCCATGAAAGCGGTTCTTCGCGGATCCTTAGAATCTGAATGCTGGGCCCCCATGTAATCCATGAAGTCTCGGGGCAGACCCCTCCGAAACTCCACATTTTCTTCCATTGCAGCCTGCACGGCCAGAGGCAGTATGGCCTCTAAGAAGTCACCCCAGGTATTGCGCTGGTACGTGGACAAGGTGAGGTGCAGAGAGTGGACTCCATCCTGGCATTCAGCTTGGTGAATGAAGCCCCGAGGAAAATACAGCAAATCTCCAGGTTCCAGCACGGTCTGCAGCACCGGCTCACCGAGGTCGTCCTGACTGAAGTTGGGGCTGGATGTCAGAGCCAGTTCCTCGGTTGGGACTCGGGGTCGGTATACACGCCAGAGTTTCCTACCTTCCAGCTGCAGCACGAAGGCCTCGATGTCGTCGTAGTGGGGGGCAAAGCCCTGCGAGTTAGGTGGCGTGAGGTAAACGTTGGAGCCTGCCATGCTTCCAAACTGCTCTTGAAGCACAGCCAAAAACTGCCACACAGTGGTAGAGAAAGCCTGCGGACAGAGGAGGCGCAGGGAGCAGCCGGCCTGGTACAGGGACCACGCGGCGGCGGGCAGCGCGCGGCCGGGTGGGTTCAGGGTCTCGCGTCGCCCGTTGATGTAGCGAGCGGCGTCCAAGTGCTGGCCGAATTGCACCTCCTCGTTGCGCAGCATCAAGTCCAGGTCGGCGGTAGAGAAAAGTCCCTGGTAGTAGGTGTGGTCCTGCCGCCGCACCAGCACTGCCTCCCGCTCCCATAGGCGCCGGTAGAAGTGATCTGGCGGCATGGGCGCGATGAGCCACTCAAAGAGGCGCGCCGCTCGCCGCCGGCTGCTGGGGATGCGGTTCAGCTCGGCCAAGACGCGCCGCAGCGGGGAGTCCCAAGCCGGCTCCCCACCCGTGTTATCCACCTGCGGCCCTGACGCCGTCGCAGAAGCCCCGGACGACTGGGCGGCCGCCAAGTGCTGCGCGGTGCACAGCAGGGCCGAAGTCTCCATCACCCGGGCCGGCGCGGCGGGCACCTCCACCAGGCCTGCGGGCGGCGCGGAAGCCGGCACCAGGCGTGCCGGCGGGGTCTGCAGGGAGCGCGCGGCGGGCGAGGCCTCCAGCAGCTCTGCGGGCCCCAGGTGGCCGTATGGCTCTCGCCGGGCTGCGTCCGAGACGGCCGCCACCGCCGCCCCACCGGGTAGCGTGTCCCCCAGGTCGTCGGCCGTCGACTCCACCCTCGAGTCCTCCGAGTCCTTGCTAGGCAGCGTCTGCGCCCTCAGCACCTGCGCCATGGTGGGTACAACACCTCTCCATTGCCTTCGTATCTTCCTGGGCCTCAAGGGCAGGGCCAGGACCGACCCGCTGTGTGGCTGAGACTTGCGCCGGCGCCTTGGCCGCCCGCGCCTCAACGGCCCTGCACTGGCCTGGAGCCCATCCATGGCGAGATCAGACTAGATCGTCTTCCCCGCCCGGCCGGGGCCGACGCTATAGAGGTTCCTGAATGCAGCGGCTGCGGTGCACTCTGGGAAGGGGGCGCGGCCTCCAGCCACCTAGGGGTTGGCCACGCCCACCATTCTTCTATTCGGTCCCTCCCGCTCTCTTTCTTTAAATGTTTGGCTTCAAACTATAGCGGCAAGAACCCTTGCCAAACAAACAAGGAATCTACACTCAGAGAGCAATTTAAAAATCAAGTTGCGGCCAAGCGCGGTGGTTCACGCCTGTAATCTTAGCACTTCCGGAGACCGAGGTGTGTGGATCTCCTGAGGACAGGAGTTCGAGACCAACCTGACCAATATGGTGGAACCCCGTCTCTACTAAAATTACAAGAATTGCTCAGGCGCGGTGGCTCACGCCTGTAATCCCAGCACTTTGGGAGGCCTAGGCGGGCGGATCACGAGCTCAGGAGATCGAGACCATCCTGGCTAACAAGGTGAAACTCCGTCTCTACTAAAAAAGAAAAATACAAAAAATTAGCCGGGCGTGGTGGTGGGCGCCTGTAGTCCCAGCTACTCGGGAGGCTGAGGCAGGAGAATGGCGTGAACCCAGGAGGCAGAGCTTGCAGTGAGCCAAGATGGCACCACTGCACTCCAGCCTGGGCGACAGAGCAAGACTCCACCTCAAAAAAAAAATAAAAAATAATAATAATAATTACAAAAATTAGCCAGGTGTGTTGGCTTGCACCTGTAGTCCCAGCTACTTGGGAGGCTGATACAGGAGAATTGCTTGAACCCGGGAGGTGGAGGTTGTAGTGAGCTGAGGTCACGCCACCACACTGCGTCTCAAAAAACAACAAGAAGCACAAAATCAAGTTACTAGAGACTCCCCAGGAGAAATGGCTACTTAACTGTTCTTTCCTTCTAGTCTTTGCATATTGCAGTGTTCCTTAGATGTCCTGATTTCTGAACAGGATGTTCCACCGGCAACTTCTCACCAAAAAGTGCAGAATTCTTGTTTTCAAGGAATGCCCCCAGGCAGTTTGAGTTCGGCATAAACTTCTGCTCTGCAGATGAATTCGCTGACTGAAGCCCTATCTAGGAGTTCCTCCACCTAACTTCTCTCCCTCCTTTCTCCAATACAAATTCTCAAATTCATTGTCCTCTCTCCGAAAAAGAAGTTATGTTTCCTCTACTTGCATTCTTGATATCTGCCCTTCCTGCCCCTCTGGGATTTTGTTTCTTTAGCTGCAACTTCTCTGGCTCTTAAATTCGAGTTCTTAAATCTGGGCCTCTAATTTAACAGGCAATGTGGTGGCATGAGGGTGTAATTTTTGAGAACATGGTCACTGTCTGTCATGCAACTAATTGCTTTGTACATAAAGATTCCTTGTCTTCATTTGAATCATTTAAGAAATAAAAGTGCTGGGTCAAAAAGTAAGATACTTTTTGTGATTATTAATAGGTTTTACCAAACTGCCTTCCAAGAGGGTTTACAATGTTTCAAGCAATGATAAGCATATTAGACTACAGTACATGGCCTCTAGGACCTTCCTCTGTTTGAGCTTTCAACACTCCCTCTTTCTGAGTTGCACGCCTATCCAAACACTTGCCAAGGCTTTTAGATTTTGCCCTTACCCATGTCTAACATCCACCCTTTTTTATTTCTCACATGGTCTATTAAACACACAGTTCTCAACTGGGGGTGATATTGCCTCCTGAGAGACATTTGGCAATGTCATATGGGGGGCGAGGGGTTGTCTAACATCTAGTAAATAGGCACTAGAGACACTGCTAAACATTCTACAATACTAAGGACGACCCTCCCACAACAAATAATTATCCGATGCAAAATGTCAGTAGTGTAGTGTTGAGACAGAAATCCTGGTTTATTACAAATAGCCTCCCAACTAGTCTCTTTACCTTTATTTTTTATTTTTTTTTATTTTTTTTGAGACAGGATCTTGCTGTGTGACCCAATCTTGGCTCAGCGCAACCTCTGCCTCCCAAGTTCAAGTGATTCTCCTGCCTCAGCCTCCCAGGTAGCTGGGATTATAAGCACCTGCTACCACCGAAGCTAATTTTTGTATTTTTAGTAGAGATGGGGTTTCACCATGTTGGTCAGGTTGGTCTCAAACTCCTGACCTCAGGTGATCCACCCATCTCGGCCTCCCAAAGTGCTGGGATTACAGGCATGAACTATGGCGCCTAGCCATCTCTTTACCGTTAATTGCTCCTGTATTAGCCATTCTCACATTGCTATAAAGAACTACCTGAGACTGAGTAATTTATAAAGAAAAGAGGTTTAATTGGCTCGCAGTTCCTCAGGCTGTACAGGAAGCATGGTTGGGGAGGCCTAAAGAAACTTAAAATCATGGTGGAAGGTGAAGGGGAAGCAAGCTCACGCCTGAAATCCGAGCATTTCAGGAGGCTGAGGTGGGTGGATCACGAGGTCAGGAGATTAAGACCATCCTGGCTAACATGGTAAAACCCCATCTCTACTAAAAATACAAAAAATTAGCCAAGCATGATGGCACACGCCTGTAGTCCCAGCTATTCTGGAGGCTGAGGCAGGAGAATTGCATGAACCCAGGAGGTGGAGGTCGCAGTGAGTCCAGATCGCGTCACTACACTCCAGCCTGGGTGACAGAGCGAGACTCCATCTCAAACAAAAACAAAACCAACCAGATCTTGTGAGAACTCAACCACCATCATTGAAAGCAGCAAGGGAGAAATCTGCCTCCATGATCCAATCACCTCCCACCGGGTCCCTCCCCCAACATTGGGGATTAGAAATCCCCACATGAGATTTGGGTGGGGACCCAGAGCCACACCATATCATCTCCCAGGCCAATTTATACCACAGATAGCTACAAGATTAATTTTCTCAAGTTGAGGCCCCAAGCTTGTCGTCACCCTACTCAAAATCTACCCATGTGCCCCACTGACTAATCCAAGTTCCTCAGCTAGGTACTGAAGTCACATAACGTTATAGCCTATCATCCCCAACCCCTATAAACTCTACTTCTACAAGATAGACTGTTTGCTGTTGCTTACCTATATCGTCCTTCATATGTTTTCTCAGGCTGTTTCCTCTGCATGCTGTCCTCCAATTATCTTTTGTCAAAACCCTAACTAAAGCCCATTTCACATTCCGTCTCCTCTCCAAAGGCCCTACCATCTCCTTCATCTCAAGAGAATTTTGACTCTTTCACATTAATTTAACACATTGTGCTGATAATTCGTGCTCTTGTCATATTCCTTCCTAAAATTCAAGGAAAAGACTTCCTTATGCCTTTTTCTATCCTGTCTTGCATTTAGCACACTGCCCTGGGATTACAAGCATGAGCCACCATGCCCTGCTAAAAATATAGACTTTGTTTGTGTGTTTGTTTTGAGATGTAGTCTTGCTCTGTCACCCAGACTGGAGTGCGGTGGTGCTACCTTGGCACACTGCAACCTCTGCCTCCCAGATTCAAGCAATTTTCCTGTCTCAGCCTCCCGAGTAGCTGGGATTATAGGCACCCCCTACCACACCTGACTAATTTTTATATTTTTAGTAGAGACGGGATTTCCCATGTTGGCCAGGCTGGTCTCAAACTCCTGACCCAGGTGATCTGCCCGCCTCAGCCTCCCAAAGAGATGGGATTACAGGTGTGAGCCACTGCGCCCAGCCAAAATACAGTATATTTTAAACAATAAACTTTCTCTAATTCATCTCATTTTTCTTGATTTTTAAGCTTTGCTTGCCTTACTCTTCTGTTTTTTGTTTTGAATCAATAGAATTCCCTTTAAAAAAATCAAAGGAACTTGACATTCTGAATATAGATGTTAATCATTGTTATTCAGAGAAACTGCTACAGAAAAGAAGAGCCAACAGTATGTTTAAGTATACATAGTATGATTTAAAGCCTATCAGGAAAGTACCCCAAATTATCTCTCCCATCAAAATTCATCTCATCATTAGATAGTTATTCTTGAATTAGTCATTGTCACTTTCACTTCATCTATATCTAAAATGTAAATATACTGGGAAGGGTGATATATACTAAATTATAAGTTCCTTTTTTTTTTTTTTTTTTCAAGACAGAGTCTCACTCTTGTCACCCAGGCTGGAGTGCAATGGCACGATCTCGGCTCTCTGCAATCTCCGCCTCCTGGGTTCAAGTGATTCTCCCGTCTCCTGTCTCCACCTCCCAAGTAGCTGGGATTACAGGTGCACGCCACCACGCCTGGTTAATTTTTGTATTTTCACTAGATGGGGTTTCGCCACGTTGGTCAAGCTGGTCTTGAACTCCTGAGCTCAGGCAAGCCACCCGCCTCAGTCTCCCAAAGTACTGGGATTACAGGTGTGAGCCACCGCACCTGGCCTCATAAATTCCTTTAAGTGTCTTTTCTTAAAGAAGGAAGGATAGCATGAGTTGTTGAAAGGGAGATGGTGAGAAAGAAATAAAAGGAAAGTAAAAGAAAGCAAATGTCTGAGGCAGTGGTTCTGAACCTGGGGCTATTTTGCACCCCCAGGGGTCATTTAGCAATATCTAGAGATATTTTTGGTTGTCCAACAGTGGGGATGCTACTAGCATCTAGGGATGCTGTAAAACATTCTACAATGTACAATGAAGCCCCATAACAAAGGACTATCTGGCCCCAAATGTCAATAAAAACTTTCAGATGGCAATTCATCAATACAAAATTTTGATATCCTTGACCCAGTAGTAATTCTACATCTAGAAATCTATCCTTAAAAAATATTCACTGGCCAGATGCAGTGGCTAGCACCTATAATCCCAATGCTTTGGGAGGCTGAGGTGGGTGGATTGCTTGAGCTCAGGAGTTCCAGACCAGCCTGAACAACATGGCGAGACACCGTCACTATGAAAAATCAGCACTTTTTTCTTTCTATCTTTTTTTTTTGTTTTTGAGACAGAGTCTTGCTTTGTCACCTAACCTGGAATGCAGTGGCATGATCTTGGCTCACTGCAACCTCTGCCTACCCAGGTTCAAGTGATTCTTGTACCTCACCTGAGTAGCTTGGATTACAGTCATGTGCCACAATGACCAACTAATTTTTGTATTTTTAGTTGAGATAGGGTTTTGCCATGTTGGCCAGGCTGGTCTCGAACTCCTGGCCCTAAGTGATCCAACTGCCTTGGCCTCCCAAAGTGCTGGGATTACACGAATGAGCCACCATGCCAAGCTGAAAAATTTTAAATACAAAAATTAGCCAGGCGTCGTGATGTACACCTGTGGTCCCAGCTACTAGGGAGGCTAAGGTGGGAGGATGGCTTGAGCCTGGGATGCAGAGGTTGCAGTGAGCTGAGATGCTGCCACTGCACTCCAGCCTGGGCAATAGAGCCAAACCTTGTCTCAAAAAAACAAACAAAAAAAATCACCCATGTGTACAAAGGT